GAGTCTTGTGATTAAATCAGATTGCTTAACTTGTTCTGATTTTAGGTCTCAGCCAACATTATATTGAAACTACTTGTTATTGATGTTTATGGAAAAAATTACTTTAACCAAAAGGGTAATGAAAGTATTTTATATACTGACCATCAGATTTATGTTTTTAACTACACCTAGATATGGAATCACATTTAAAAAAAAATGTATTTTCTATAAAATGATTTGATAAGCATTGAAGAAATTGAAAACCCCAAACCCAAACGAAAACATCTGGATAGGAAAGAGAAATTGTGTGATATTTCAGGTTGCACCAACTTTACTTTTCCTGTAGTTACAGAAAGTAGGAAAGAATTTATTGTGTAGGAGGGTTTTTGTTTGACTTTTTAAAGCATACAGTTGAATTGATCATTCCCCTTTCAAGAGTTGCTCAGACAAAGGAAAGTGCTCTTGGTCTGTGTAATTCAATGGGACATCAGAGCAAATGCACAGTTAGTATGTTACTGAGATACAAGAAAAATCCAAGTTCTTTGTGACATACTTTGTGCTTGTTTTTCAGTTAAATCTACCTTGAATTCTTCTGGTCAATAAGCAACCTTCATGCTTTCACTTTGTGACCCCACAAACACACCTGGGTAGTGAACAAGCAGAGTGATAAAACAGGAAATCCGTAACGTGCTTAAAATGCAAACGTAAGAAGTAGCAGGCACTTTGCTGAGAAGAAAAGCCATTGAGCATGGTTGAGTTGCTTTTACAAGCAGTCAGACTATGTTTTTGAGTAGTTGAAAACCAAAATTGCACATCTGCTCTTCAGTACAATCCTTTTCCAATAGATGTTCCATTAGATGTCTACAGTTAAGTGAATTTTCGAGAGTATATTTTACAGGCCCTCTTATTTTGACACAGAGGTGCCCCGCAGGCGGTTCAGGTAGCACCTGTGTCCTTGTCTGTGCAGCCTTGGAGGTTTGCTGAAGTGGTCTTTTGAAACACTATTTGAGAAAACTGATTGGATTTTATGTTCTGTCCTTTTTTGGTTTCCCCTTCTCACCCCTCAGGAGAAACAAATCTCGTTCTTTCTATTCTCTTGTTGGAGTTGTGTCTGACATGTATTATGGTAATCACGACTGATTCCCATAGTGTCAACTTAATGGAAAACATAATATCATAATTTTCTGATGGGTTAAGCTATAATAAAAGCTCTGGTGTCTGAATAATACAGAATAGATTAATAAAAAGCCACTGTTTAAATAATGGAACCTTCCATTGAAGGACCTTAAAGGAAGGAACTTACAGATAAACTTGGAAAGAGACCAAACACATTTTGCATGTCTGTAATAAGGATTTTTCTAAAGTTTCCCTCAATTTATATTTGAGGTAACAGTGCTTTTTCCATGCTCTTCTCTCTGTTGGACGATCATCAGAAGGTCCTGTGGAGGACTGGGTAAGTGACATAATAAGCAGGGGTCATTAAAAGTTGCCTTGAAATCTGGAGATAGTATGCTTGTGTATGCCTATAGTATGATTTCAACTAGATGCTAATGGAGGTGCAAAAACTGCTCTGGTCTTTGCCTTGAAAATTAGCAGGGAATACAAGGAAAGGAGAGAAAGAGACTTGTCATAGAGGTGTCTACATTGGAGCTTCTTCCATGAAGCTACTGTGTTTTGATACAGCTGCTAAATCATCTTCAGTTTTATGCAGGCAGTTCTTCATAACCCACATGTCCCTTGTGATGAAGAGAAATTATTAAAAATTTGCCCAAGTAAGCCATTTATCAAGTTATCCCATTACAAGACAAGTATACTAGTTCTTTTAAGTGTATCTTGGTACTAATATTGATACTGTTTATATTAAAATAAAATGGGGGGTTTGGGGGGGTTGGACTAGATGGTCTCCAGATGTTCCTTCCAACCCCTGCCATTCTGTGATTCTGTGAAATGCCAGGATTATTTGAAGTAGTTTTTCTGATTTTTTTTTTTTTCTCCTTTTTTTTCCCCTTTTCCTTTCCCTTCTCCTCCTTGCAATTAATTGCTAGATGACTAGCTGAATTTAGCAATAGTGGAGGGTTAATAACAGCATTGGGCTGATGTATTTCCTGGTGTCTGTGCCAAGAAACTTGCCTGCTTGATCACTTTGTAGTTTGGTTTGAGGCCACAGGATCATGGGTTATAAGTTTCCTTCCCTTGTGATCCTGGAACTTCACGTGGTATATGAAACAGCAGCGAGAACAGCCTGGAGGCTGGCCCTAAACACTGCGGTGTGAGCAGATTGGGCTTGGGGGGAAGCAGGTTTCTTAAATCATCAAAGCTGTAATTGTGAACTACTTTTGGCAGCTGGACCCTTTACATTGCTTTGTGATGAGGGAGGTGGAATTTTCAGGGACAGAGTCTTTGGTTAGTGTCTGGGTCTTGTGTCTGGGCTGAGGTAGGGCTAGTGGTTCCTGTGGCTGCTGGAGGAGCAGCAGGTTGCAGTAGGGTTCTCCGGGCCCTGAAGATTCTCAGAAGGGTACCCAACACTGCAATACACTATACCCCAAACAGCTTCTTACAGCTCAAACCTTTAATTAAGGTGGAACTTGGAATCAAAGCTTATTGAAAGGGACTCAGCACCTGCTGGACTGCATTAAATGAGTGCCTGGGAATAACTGGAATCATGCAAGCGGTTGTTTTTTATGGGATCCTCTCAAACTCGTTATGTGTACAATAAATGACACTTGGCTGTCTCATATTAAAATGAAGCTTTAGGATTTGATTCCTGTCAATTCTTTTAACTTGTCTCAGTTTGGCTTGTTGATTCTTATTATAGTATTCCTGTTTCAGGTTTGTCTTTTCCCTATCCCTTCCCCTACAAAAGTGTGAAATTCTACTTAGGAATTTTTTTTATTGGCTAGTGCTTTGCAAGGCCTTTTTTTTTTTTTTTTACTTTGTAATCCTCATTCTGTAATAATGTTTATCAATATTATTATCAGTGTTGTCACAAAAATCGATGACTGTAGGCTCCTCAGAATTTTGTATAGTTTGTATATGGGTCTTAGACTTTAAACGTTTTTGTATTAGTTTTCCAATTGTTGAGTAGCTTTAGGTTTTGTAATACGGAGAGCTGGCTAGATCTGGGAAAGAAAGCACCTACATATTTTATTATTTCCCCTCGTACACCTCAAGTATGAAGAAATCCAGACAAAAATGCAATAATTCTTGCTCAAACTTCTTCACACCTAGAGTCCTTCCAAACTTCCTTGAGGAAGCAGGTTATAAATTGTATTTGAAACAAATTTTCCTAGTAAGGTAGACCACTTAATTGAGCCACATTACTTACTACACCTTTGCTGAGCAAATAGTTACAAAAGGTAGAGACTGTTGAGAAAGCAGGATGAATGGTAGCCATCCACAGACTGCATTACTGCAATGCTGAAGTCTATTTCCTCCTAAAAAATATCGTTGGAAACTTCTTCGTTTCCCTGTTTATTACCTGTAGCTATATTTTAGTATTTCAGTCTCATAAGTGTAGACTTAATAAAAGCTACTAAGAATGCTATGGAAATGACATCTCTTAAGGCATGCCTCTAACATTTTTCTATGGTAGATCTAAATTCAGTTGTATAATTAACACTAATTATTACAATTATATATTTTATTAGCTTAGAAAATAACTTAATGTGTTGATATTTAAATAAGCACTTTTATTTACCTAATCTTTATTCATTAATGTAGCTTTTGAAATGCGTTTTGCTTTTCTTTAGAATTTCTACTGGAAAACTGAATGTGAATAGAGGGTAGCTGCACAGTCAGCTGAGGAACAGATAGATGGGTGATCCATGCACCATGAGGAAGAAAATGTCACACTAAAATCCTGAACTCTGGTCTCCTGTTACTAGGATGAAGTTTCTGGTTTTCATTTTTGATTGGTGCAAGCAGTTATCCAGTAATCACTGAGATACCGTGCGATATGGTAAAGCAGTGCTTTATTGCTTTAAAGCCGTCTGCTTTCCTTTGCACCAGGCGGGCACACCAGTTTGTCAGGTGACTTAGCAGATGGTTTTGGAATGGGTGTGTCTGTTAGCATCTGGGGAGCGAGGTTTTGTGTGGTGGGTATAGCAGTCTTCCTCTTCTGGCTCGTTTTTTTATGTGCATGTTTTTAATAACATGGGAGATGTTATACTCGGAGTTGTCATTCAAGAGCAGCCTGTGTTACTCTTATGACTAACTAATGAAATCCCATCTCTAGCAAGCAGGTTGATACGTGCTGGTTTTAGACACTAAGCTAACCATTTGTTATGATAGTTTTGAAAACAGTCAGAAACAGCTGATGTGAAATAGATGCGGTTGCATGAAAACACTGCTGCAGAACTAGACCTTTTTTTTTTTTTTTTTTTCTTCCTGGAATTGGGTTCTGGGAAGCTACAAACCTGTGTAACATGCCCTTGGTAGTGCAGCCTCTATCCTGCACTGCTGTGATGCATCATAGCTCAAAAAAATATGTTGGGTACTTCATTTCTAAGAGAGTTTTAAAATACTGCGGTTTTGTTGTTTATTTAGTCCCTGTTACCTAGACGATATGGGTAAATGGGAACTGCTGCTACTAGGATAGTGGTAAGAGGCTGAGGCTTATCTTGTAACACCCTGTTTTACAGTTCCTTACAGCCACATAATTGACTTCATTGGGCTTTGGATCAGAGTACTTCAAATTAAGAACTTCAAATTAAGAAACCACTTAATTGACTTGCAGAGTCAAACTTCTGAAGCAGGTTTCCCCAAGCTGCTGTTCTGTTTCTAGATGAAGGGATTTGGAGGCAAGCCCAAGTACTTCAAATATATCCCATAGCAGTAAATAAACGTTGGTCACAACAATTAGAAAATGACATAGAAATGAATTCACTTAATAGTTCACTGTGGCAAGCAACCTGTTGAGTGGAAATATGACTGTGGGTGATTGTGATATGTTTTATTTGACATACTCAAGTCTTGTTTCTTTTTTCAGGGAGAAAGACCTTAATGCAAAATTTATTATTTCAATGGAAAAAAATAAAACGACAATCACAAACTTAAAGGTGAGTAAACGCAATTTAAAAAAAGAAGTTCTGATTGAGTAGCTGCCAAAATATGAGTGAGCGGAACAGTGGTGTTCACTGCGCTGTGGAGAACAGTCCTTAGTTTTTAAAATACAGTGTTGAAGTAATCCTTTGGGGAAACAGATTAAACTTGCTGCACTGCAGTTTTCTGAAAACTGTTCTATAGGCTGTATCACATAGGTTTTTCTAAGGTTTTCTCACTCTGGTCATTACTTAGTTGGAAGATGAAAGCCAGCAATAGGAGAGAGGTATGTGCCTGGTAGCTATTAAACCTTTGCTTCACCTGTTGAAGAATTCTTCTGGAATTCCCATGAAAATGCACTAAACCCAAAGTAGCCATCACTTGCTATGGTATTCTGATGGTATATTTTAACATTTCTCTCAACAAGAGATATCATGCACAGCAAACAGGCTTTTGGAAGATAGCTTCCAATGACAAATATATGAAAAGGAATTTCAGTGTGTAGCTTGTTTAGACCAATTCAAACAGCAGTGAATATTGCTGAAGTATACTGCTAGCTGTCATGTCTTGAGCATGATGAAAGCCTTGAGCAGCGGATATGTAACACCATTTTATTTATGAGTCCACACTGAAATGCTATTTGCAGTGCAAAGGTCTTTCTGGCTCCTATTAATTATGTGTGTAGGATGATCTCTTATTATAATCTGAATTTCATGTACAGGACTGATTTAACTGAACATAGGTATTGTCACAAAAATGTACTGTAGCATTGGGAGCAGTAAGCAAAAATCCAAGTAATTCCTGTTGTGCTGTTTTGTAACGTGACTGTCCTTCTTGCTGAAGGTATATACCTGTTCCTAATAGTTTCCCTGTTGTTGGAGTGATAGGCTAACCTGTCACTGTAAATTTCTAAATGTGTATAGCCTTATGTTAAATTTGCATTCTGATTATTTATAATTATCTTATTATTATGTTTTAAATTACTTCATCAGAATCTATTGTACCAGCCCTTTTTTTATTTATTTATTTTTTAAATAGGTACCAGAGGGTATTACTGGAGACACAGCACGAGAAAGAACTAAGACATTTACCTATGATTTTTCCTATTTCTCAGCAGACAGTAAAAGTCCCAGCTTTGTTTGTCAAGAAATGGTAAGATTTCTGAGTGTTAATAATTGATTTTTTCCTTTCCCTTTTTGTTGACTTGAAAGCATTCTTTGAAACTTCTTTCCGTTGAAAGTGCTTCTTGTGTAATTCAGAAATTCCCAGGGTAGCTGAGGATTTGAATTTTGTTTTGTTTTTTAACTTTCCTAACATTAAGTGCTGTGTTTTCTAATACAGCAGGCTAAATGCCTTCTTTCTAGTTCTCTTGTCTGATTTGTTTTGTAAGGTCAATTTAGAAAACTAAACTTGGTTTTGAAAAGCTTTTTTTGAAAAAAAATAAAAAAAAAAAAAAATTGCTTTTTGAGAAACAAGCGTATATCCTTAATTGACTTAGACAGAAACATTCTTATCTGGTTGAAGTGTTTGTGTTTTTTTTTTTTTTGTCTGAAAGTCTTGGTACACATTGAAGAAGACTATTCTTTCTCCTCCCATGAGTATTCAGCTTAGGAAAGGACAAAACTGACTTTCTGCGTGTTCAGAAAATCAAACTCGGAGCTATAAGAATTGTTTAGATGGACCGATAGACCCTCCCTGACCTCGCATTTCATGTGAACATTGAACCTTTTTGCTATTTCACATTCCCAAATAAATTTATGAAGTAAAAATCAAGTGTTTTGTGATTGCTATCTTGTCTTTTGGTCTTGTGGAGCTTGGGATGCTGTAGCTTCAAGTGAGAGTATTTGTTTCCCCTTAAAATAATGCAAGGGTATGCTGAATATACCGTAAGCCAGTTGGATACATACCTTTTTGGTATGTACCTCATCTATTCTGTAACCCCCTAAATTGGGGATACTGGTATGGCTATTCCTAAAAAGCCTCAGAATTAAAACTAATAGTAAGAAACAAGAAGTTAAAGCAGATTTTAAAAATTTATGAGAAGGACAAGCTTTGCCATTACGCATAATGACTATAATTGTTTGATAGGAAATTTATACTTGAAATTTCTGTGGTTAACCTTCTGTGGTTAGCCATTCATGTAAGTGCTAGGTCCTTTTTTTATCCCGAAAGCTCCTTTTTTATTTCACTGAGTTATTAGTGTTTAATCCAAATGTTTGCTCATGCATATTCTAAACCTTTCTGGATTGTTATTTCTTGATGATATTCTTTTAAGTAACAAAGTTTTTGCTATATTCTCTGAAATATCAAGAAGTATACATTTATTTAGGTGTTGATGTAGAAATACTCTAATTAGTTTAGCACTGTAGCAAATCCAAGAAGTAGTGTATTTGAGCACAAAGACTGGAACCCTAGTTTCTAGTGGATGTTTTTAAGCAGGTGGTTCAGGCCATGTGGCTTTACTAGAACTTTAGCAAATGCTTTAGGTTGAGCACGTAAAGAGTTATTTATTTATTTTATTTGAAGCAACTTTGATCATGTATTTTTCTGCTCTGATTGTAACTGAAGCTTGAGATTTTGATTGTGGTTCTGCAGACGCAACACATGATTGCCTGAAGTTCGCTCGTACAAATTGGTTAGGGTCTCAGTTTAATATTACTAGGTTTCATGAAAAAGCATATCATTCTTAGTGATAATGAATTACGTTTTCTCAGCTCTCCCTGATATAGGTGAGTACATGTCCATAAAACAGTATTAATGACATATCCATGCATATTTGGAAAAATCTGAAAAATGTACTGTAAAAGTAGCTTTAGAGATTTGTCTTCAGCAGCAACTGTGGCTTAAGCTTATGGATGTTTAATGTTTGGATCATCTAGGTAGCTGATTGTTTTACTGACTTTAGATACTTCTGGAGAGCCATGTTTAGATAAGATGTCAGTAGAAGAATCCCAGGAAGAGAGTCCGTTATGTTAGGTTGTTGCTGTTAAAATGCAGGTTGTTTCCAGAATCTGAGTGTTCTGTGAAATAACGAAGTTAATTCTTGTTGAAATAATGATTTTTAAAGGAAACTTAAATTAATATAAGTGGATATCTATGTTTTATCCAATGTTGATGTCCAGTTCCCACTGATTGCATATAAATGACAAATTAAGTTTTCCTTATTTTAAGTTTTTCCTTCTTGGTGATATTTTGCCTCTGTTTCAGAGGCAAGATCAGTATAACTTGCCAGTGTCAGTAGCTTATAGAAAAAAATAAATTAAAATGCCCATATAGGGATTGCTGCAGCAGCCTTGAGCAATGATTTTTTTAAAGCTGTGAGCTTTATGGTTTGTAGTAATAAGATGCTAACAATAAATCCTAAATGTGGCTTAGATGTCCATGTTCAATATTCTGCTATTACAGTGTGTCCCACAACCCCAGTCTGCCTCCTTCATCCTTACAAGCAAGAATGCTAACTTCTCTTGCTCAGCAAAAAAATGTTGTTGTCCCTGTATCAGGTGTTTTAATTACAATGCATGCAGCACATTGAAAAAACAAAAAGAGTTTTCAAACTATGGGAGTGTGATTTATAAACAAATGCTGCACAAGCTATTGTTTTGCTTGTGTTATGCATTTCATATTTAGTTGGAAGGCTTTGTAGTTAGGCTCTTATCAAGTTGCTGCAGAATTTCCAGTTTACTGCACCAGTGGCATAGAAGAAGGGCGTTTTTCATTCACATTCACCTTGCCGTAGAATAAAATTGATCTTGATTGTTGGTAATGTGGTTGCCTAGTGTGCTTTCTTCATGATTGTTATATTTTTCCATTTGAAAGGCAGAAAAATAATAAATGGAAGTCGGTCTAATACTACACGCCCCGTTAATATGCCTTGTAGATGCAAAATACGCTTTAGCATTCAAAAATTGGAGTAGGAGTAGCAATTTACTATCAAGCTGCTTAGTTTGTATTCCTGGAAGAGAAACAAATAGAATTTTGATGTTTACTGCCCTTTTGTGACAAACCACTGTCCCAGCCATTTGGTTCTGACAGAGTCCCATCCTAACAATGTCTTTTCTTCTAACCTGTGTGTTAAGCTTCTGTGTTCAGACACCACCAACTGTAACTGCCCTCTGTACTACCTTAAATCACTTTGCAAGGAATACACAGATTTTTAAAAGGGAGAATGCAGTCAGAACAGTAGTGCATAAAGGCTTGGTCCAGTTGGTGAGGTAAAGACTTGGACACAGAGAAAGGGAAAAGAGGGGAGAACATAAAGGAGGTTACTCAGCGGGGAGAAGTAAACGAAGATGCTGTTTTTCAAATGAAAAGTGAAAGGGAAATTGTGCTTTGACAGATCTTTATACTCTTGAGAAGTAACTGATTATAGCATTGTAACTCCTTTGCTCAAGGGAAGGTCAAGTTAGGTATTCCAAAGGCATGCTTGCAACTGAGCATTAATGATTAAAGAAATTACCCAGCACTCCTTCATGGGAGGAGTAGCATGATTATACTGTGCGCATGCCATTTGCTATTAATAATGACTTGTACACCTTAGTTAATTTAAAGCACATATACTGTGTACTAGTAGCCAAATTATATGAAACATCTATGAGATTTCTGAAAATCATGTCTGGATTGGCAGACCCAGATGTATATTTTCATTGAGAGAAATGCTGCACCAAGTGTTACTCCTTGCCCAGTGGGAGTATGGATGGAAATGAGTGGTAAAGGTAACGAAAGGTCACGAATCTCGCAGGGATACTGGAGGTAGAATTGCAGAGGAAGGTGGTGGAGGCGTCTGATGAGACCTGCAGTTATTAGGTGAGAACAGAATCCCATGTTATGGTATGTGGAGGGGGGGATCGTTGCCAGTTTGTAAATATTGAGGGCAAAAGAGAAGGGGGGCCAGCTGATACCACCTACTGTATAGAAAACATGGTTCTGTGTTTGCCAACCTAAAAAATACTGGTATGTAAGAGCTAGGTAGGGAGGAAATATGGAGAAAATAATGGGCCATTTTCTTGGTTAAAGCAAAAAAACCAAACCCAAGCAACCAAAACTCTCCAAAAACACAAACCAAGAAACTGACAGGATCACTGAAATGCTTCCTTTTGAGAAGGGGCTGGATCTTTGCAGAACGTGGAGAGTTGGGAAAGATGCAAAAAGTGTGTGGATATTAACAGTAAGGAAAAGTGGATGAACTATCTGAGATGGCTGAAAGAAATGGGAAGTGACCTATAGAAAGAAGGTAGTGTTTTTTGTTCTACATGTCAACTAGATCTCTGACAGAAAAAGTAGAAAATACAGTTGCAGTGCTATAAACTAAATATGGTAGTAATATTTAGTATTTTATTTGAAGTACTAATTTTGTATCCTATAATAAATATCATTGGTTGATGCCAATAGCTTATATTGTGTTAGTTTAATATTTGCTATGCTGGACTGATGACAACTTTTTTCCCCAAGATTTTGTTGTCTTAAAAAACTTTCTTTGTTTTTAGGTTTTCAAAAATCTTGGTACAGATGTGCTTAAATCTGCTTTTGAAGGTTACAATGCTTGTATTTTTGCGTATGGACAGACTGGATCTGGGAAGTCCTACACCATGATGGGAAATGCGGTATGTTGTATTTTCGTAGAATCATAGAATATACCAGGTTGGAAAGACCTCAAGTTTCACTTGGTCCAACCTTTCTTGGCAAAATCGTGGTCTAGACAAGATGGCCCAGCACTCTGTCCGGCTGAATCTTAAAGTGTCCAATGTTGGGGCATCCACCACTTCCCTGGAGAGATGATTCCAATGGCTGATTGTTCTCGTGAAGAAATTGTCCTTTTGTGACCAATCAGAGTGTACCCAGGAGTAACTTGTACACCTTACCGCTCGTCTTTTCTGTGTGACGCCTCGTAAAAAGGGAGTTTCCTTCTTCTTTGTAGTCACCCTTTAAATACTGGAACATGGTGATAAGGTGTCCCCTAAGCCTTCTTTTCTCAAAAGCCAGTTCTATCAGCGTTTCCTCTTATGGCAGTCTTCCTGGTCCTTTGATCATCATGTGGCCCTTCTCTGGACCCTTTCCAGCCTGTCCACAGCTTTTTTTTGTATAGTGGGGACCAAACCTGAACACAGTGTTCCAGGTGTGGCCTGACAAGTGCTGAGTAGAGCGGGATAATGACTTCTTTGTCTCTGCTGGTGTCCTTGTTGATACAACCCAGCATTCTGTTGGCTTTCTTTGCCGCAGCAGCACACTGTTCACTCATATTGAGCTTGTTGTCCACCAGGACCCCCAGGTCCCTTTCCGCAGAGCAAGCTGCTCTCTGGCTGGGTAGATCCTAGCCTGTGCTGCACTCCATGGTCTATGTTTTCCCAGGTGCAAGACCTTACACTTGTCCTTGTTGAACTTCTTAAAGTTCTTGTTAGCCCACTCTTCCAGCCTATCCAGGTCTTCCTGCAGGGTGGCTTTCCCTTCCGAAGTGTCCACTTCCTCGCTTGGTTTGGTATCATCAGCAAACTTCATCAGGGCACACTTGATCCCATCATCCAGATTACTTATGAAGATATTAAGTAGTGTTGGGTCCAATATTGATCCCGAGGGAACTCCACTTGTGACAGGTTGCCAGTTTGAAAAAGAGCTGTTTACCACCACCCTCTGGGTGCTGCCTGTCAGCTAGTTCCCCAGCCACCGCACAGACTGCTTGTCTATACCGTAACACATCAGTTTCTCTAGGAGGAGGCTGTGGGATACCGTATGAAAAGCCTTGGAGAAGTCCAGGTAGACAATGTCCACAGCTCTTCCCACATCAACTGAGCCAGGTGGTTTTTTTGTTCTGTAACAATGCATTGAAATTTATGCTAATGCATATGCAAGAGCATGTTTTTATGGAATTATTAGTGATCCTGTCTGTATGCTACTTGACCGCTCATGTATCATACTAGTAGCACTCAGGTTTCAGAAGCCGTTTCTTTTATAGGTAGATATTTACAGTTGGAAGAAGTATCTTTAGGTGATGCTCTGTTATGTTGGACAAGAAGCAATCATTTTTGTTCAATAACAAACCCAAAAATTTCAAATGTTACTGCTGATTTTTCATGCCCAACTCAGGACAAAAAAAGAAGATACTGATTATGACAACACGAATGGTCAGCTCTTTCTGAAGAGATCTGTTTTTTTAGACCTTTTTTTGAAGGGTCAGAAGATTAAAATAGGTCATTGACCCCTGTTTAGAGAAGGCTATCAAGTGAGGAGTAGAAACTGGGGATGAGAGGAGCTAAATGTTAAGTTTCATCAAACCATTATGAGATGATAACGGTAACTTTATTTTTAAGGATTAAATCTAATCGAGAATTGCAGTGAAAACCCTGGAAGAGGAAGGTGTGAGAGGAGGAATATTTGGCAGTTTGTGAGTAAAGGATAGGAGTACATTCTTGCAGTTGCATCCATGACTGTCCAAGGACAGAAAGAACCCACTGAACTTTGGGAGTGGTGCAGTTTAAAGGGGCGGGCTGGTGAAGCCTATTTGCCAGGCAGCCTCTACAGGTTTCATTCTTTAATCCTTGGGGGGAAAAAAAAAGATGCATCATGTCTTCTACCAGTAGAATTGAAAAGGGGAATATTACCACTTCCTTAGATAGATCACTCTTTTGAAATGTAGTAAGATTGGCCACTTTGCACCTCCTTTAGTTTAGGAGAGTAAATTAGCTGTAAATCTTTTTTTCAGTTGTCACAGAATAAGTGGCTTTATATTTAACTTAAGTATGGTAAGCAGAATAGACTTTTGTAACAAGAAAAGATCTTATGACCTAGATGTGGATTTCTATTTCGGAAAGTTATAAAAGTGACATTTTTGTGAGACTGTCTCACTGTATGTAATGACCGTAATCATCAAGACATTTTGCAAATGAATAGATGCTGGAGTTTGTTTGACACTATTCAATAATAAGGTCTAATCTTCTTGCCATGATAGATAAATACTTTAATCTGGCTTTGTACAGAGTGTGTATAAAATATACTCAGCTGCCAGGTTAAATGCTTGAAAATTGATAGCCCTGTCTGAGAGACTACAGTGCTATAAGAAAACTTGAATTGGAAATAAATTTTATTTTTTCCCTACTTCTCCTTAAAAAGCATGAATTCTGTTCTCATTTTGCTTTCAGTATCTACTGTTCTTGACTCTGGAAGGCTTCTTCTGCAATGCTGTGTGCAGCAATCATTTCAAGAAATATGTGGACCAGTTAGAATAAGTCTTGAGGAGAGATACTGAAATGATCAGAGATCTGTAAAATATGATCTATCAAGAAAGTCAGACTTGTGTACGCAGAGAAAGGAAGACTGTGGAGGAAAAAGTCTTCCAAGACGTAAAAGGCTGCTGCAGAAAGGAAGGGAATAATTTGTTCCCTATGTCTAGGGTAGATGGGTAAGAAACGGTAGATGGGTAAGAAACAGTAGATTTTAAATTGCAATAATGAGTTTTCTGATTAGATAGCACAGAAGGAAAACAGGCTTTTAAAGAGAAGATTCAACTCTGGAGTGAACTGTGTATTTTGGTTCTACAGATTTCCATGACTGGGAACTCTGTTATCTAGAAAAAAAGTGTCAAAGATGTAGTTGATCCTGCCCTGGAGCTGTAGGGGGTGGAAAGGGAGAAAATGTTTAAATATGGTTTCTAAGAAAGAGAGTACATTATGTAAGATGCACATTTTACTGATAAAATATGCTGGGAACTGTGTGTTCTTCCTTTCTCATCACTATGTTGCTATGGTTGAAGTTACTCAATTAGAGCTAATATTCTCTGTTTTAAGACTTTCTTTGCAGTTGCTGAATTATGTCAGACGCTAATGGCTTGCCTAAAACTTTGTGATGGATCTTTCATGTTTTTTCCTTAAGCTTTAATTAAAACTATTCAGGTGTTTCCGAGCGTGAGATGAAAGAAAATTCTTTCCTTGTCCTGTGTTTTTGTTTTGTGTTTTTTTTTTTTTTTAAAAAAAAAAAAGTGTGGGAATTTTCAACACCAAACCCTGAAATGTTATCTGGAGATAGATATTGGTACATATTGGGAAGGACTCCTCCTCTGTTACCAAAGGCAACTGCAGCCTGATTAAGCTGCAAGTTTCTCCCTTTATTTAAGAGTAGTTTGTTTGGTTTTTTTTTTTTTCTTTTTAAACCAAGGTGCAGTTAAGTGAAGGGCTAGGTATGATAGAAGGAGAGAACAGATTATTATTTCAAAGAATGAAGCCTGGTTTGTGAAGGACAAAGAGGCTCTGATGAAGAGGAGGGAGAAGATGGGAAAGGGCAAAATGGAGGGATAGAGTATGATTAAAAAGAAAAAAAAAAAAGATGGGATGATGAATCCGGAATTATATCTGGGCAAAGGAAAGAGGAAGAGAAGCTCAGAGGCAGTACCTGGAAGAAGATTGCTGGAACAGAGAATGCAGGGGGAAGCTGAAGGATGAGGACAGAGGGGACCAACATTGGAGTAAACTGGAGCAAACTTGGGTAAAAAGGGTCAGGTTTTATGTGGGGGTCTGAGTAGAAAAGAAATCTTTGCCTGTGGAGCACTTGACCTGCCAGAGTCTGGTGCAGGGGAATCCACTGTCTTTGTGTTTTTGTGCTGCCAGGTATCTGTAGAATCCCACCGGGCAAACTCTTGGGTGCCTGGAGTGCCTGGGCTATGCTCACATTGGATGTTGGGTCTGGTTTTCCTAATTTGCCTCCTGCTTAATTATTAGGCCCCTAACTCTAAGCAAAAACATTTCTTGCGTCAGCGGTGCATAGAATTAGAAATAGTCTGTTGCATCAAATCTCTTATGCATTTTTGGACTGGAGGCAAATTGTAGCTGACAGACTGTTTTGTAAGCTACTTCTGAGTTTGCAGCTCTGAGCCCAGAGCTCATCTGTATGTATATGTCCTCTCCTTTTGTTCCTGGGAGCCACGTTCACTCATTTTGGCTCTGAAGAACTAAGTGTTAGCTGCTGTCTCCCTGAAGTGGTGGGGAGGAGGTGTGCTCAGCAGGTAGTTGGTCATCTACCTAATCAGACTCAGTGGGAATGGGGCAGCTGGGAGCAAGCAGCCCCTTGTCAGCTGAGACCAGAGCTGCATGGCAGTCTCCTGCTCCTCTCTGCTGCTGGGGAAAACCCTGGCTTTGACTTACTGTCTCACTGCTTGGCTGGAAAGGGGTCTCCCTGGAGCAATGGGAAGATGAGAACTGCATGCTAAGTCTCTGGGTAACTCAGTGGTGTTAGCTGCTGCCTCACAGTCTGACACGCATGTGACATCGGTGGTGGAGCAGCAACCTCACTGGGATGAGGCTCAATTCTCAAGTGCCAGCTTAACTGAGACTATGTCATCCTGCTGCTGCTGGCTGCTGTGTTAGCTGAAGTGGCACAGACCCTGTAATGGATAGTTGCAGTCCTGCTAGTAAACCACATAGTCTGTAGGTATCTGTGAGAAGGAATATGATTTTTTCATTTTGCTTTATTAAATCAGCTGGGCAGGCACTTTGTGTGTAAAAACACTTTAACTGCAGGGTCAAGCATTCCAGCATTAAATACCAAATTTAATTTGGCTGCATTGTGTGATACAGTGAGTCTAGTTTTAATTTTGTTGTTGCATGCTAATTTATCCAGAGGACCTGCTGCATCTTTCAAGACAGAAAGGACTGTGAGCTGGGGATTGGGTGTTTGAATGAGAATGGCTCATGGATGAGTGTATATGGCTCTTGTCCCATGCTCTGCAGATGTTGCTAAGTCCATAGTGAAGTGAGACAAAAGGACAAAGGTTGGACTTGATGATCTTGAAGGTCTCTTCCAACTGAAACTGTTCTATGATTCTGTGAGACAAAAGTTAGAAAAGATAGTATCAAGATAAAGTAGTTCGTGTGTTGCTGTGAGGAGCCAGTTTCTGCCTTGAGCAGTTGGGATTATTTGAGCTAAATGAGAGGGGCAAAATATAACCCAATAGCAAAGAATTTGAGCTAGTATATATGTTCCAGCACATACATGAGGATTAAAGTGTCAAGGTGACTGCAGTTAAAGAGCAAGAGAGTATTTGCTGAAAAGTTTTGATTTTCCCCTTTTTCTGGATGTTGGAACTCTCAACTAGTGATCTTGGGTTTTATCTTTAAAAATGTATTGTGCACGCGTATATAGTCTTGGAAATAAGAATTGTCGTTGTTTCAGGGTGATGCAGGTTTAATACCTCGAATTTGTGAAGGATTATTCAGCAAAATAAGCGAAAAAACAAAGCGGAATGAGGCATCCTTTCGAACAGAAGTCAGGTAGGTCTTGGCATTTGAAGAGTTTGCTTGTTTCAGTTACAACCATGCAGTTTCACTTTATCTCTGAGGAAAGTGTGTGCTTTTTTTTAAATAACTTTCCATGCTTGGCCTAAGTCCTATAATTGATTTTTGTTGGCAGTTGTGGTCAAAGCTTCTAACTTAAATCAAACAGCTGTGCATTTTGCTTTGTTTAAAGGATAGTAAACATGCCTTTGCTGCTGGGCAGCATCTTCCTTATTTTTACCCTTTATTTCAGGCTGACATTAGGAGATCTTGATCTTGCTATTGTCTACTTCCTTTCTACTTGCTTCTTGCTTTTTTTGTTTGGGGTTTGTTTTTTTTTTTTTTTTCCTTATGATGCAAGTGCGCTGTAGTCATTACTATCTTAAGCCAGCTGTGGATCTAGTTGCTCCTCCATGCATCTTGCTTTCAAACACAGTGTTAACATGGCTTTCCTTTTTTAAAGCCTCTTGAATCAGTCAGTGGTTTTCTAATTTTTTCTTTCAGTTATCTGGAAATTTATAATGAACGTGTGAGAGATCTTCTCAGACGGAAGTCATCAAAAACTAACAATTTACGAATACGAGAACATCCAAAAGAAGGACCATATGTTGAGGGTAAAAACACTTTCAGTGTTTTGCACTGGAAATTTTATTACCTTCATATATTGTAAGATGTCATGTCTAATTGCATCAGGCATTTTTATCTTTTAAAATATAAATGAGGATGGATACAGTGCTTTCCTTTGATATAAAAGCATTAAAGGAGAATAGCGTCTCGTTTTCTATCCCCACTTGCTTTCCCAATTCTAAGTTTGTTATACATACACTATTTTTATCTGTAAATTTATAACACATTTTTAAATAATGTTGAGAGATGCAATTGGTTTTAAGAATTTGTTGACTATAACTTATAAATATTTAATATTTAGATGGAGAAAACCTATTAGGACCTAATTGTCTTGATCTGCCCTCTACCAGGGAGGGTTTATGGCTCTTGAGAGATTATGCTTATGTTATCGCACTGAATACTTTAGTAAGATTGCATGTTTTTTTCTTAATTTTTGTAAGTTCTCCAACATTCACATGAGGCCTTATTCCTTTCCTTAAGTGGTAAAAAAGTATGAGAATAAACACTAATTGCAGCAATACTTTGCAGTACTGAGGGTAATTTGAATCTTTTTGTAAAGAAAATCAAGCGCATGTATAAGCATACTCTAACGCTCTGCTTTTCTTTAGATTTGTCTAAACATTTAGTGCAAAATTATACTGATGTAGAGGAACTTATGGATGCAGGAAATATAAATAGAACAACAGCTGCAACTGGAATGAATGATGTCAGTAGCAGGTCACATGCCATTTTCACGATCAACTTCACTCAGGTAATAAAACAACCCCCTTTGTCTTAATATGTGTTTACTTTCAATAATTCATATGATAATTAAAAAATAGTGTTGCCAGATAAGCAAGTATGGATAGATAATGACTATGTTGTTGTCTTGTGACAGGGAAAGTTAAAAGTGTGAAATTTTGAGAATTATAAATATGTTAATCAATTATTATTATCTTTAAAATGTACAGTGTAATGTGACTACTTAAAATGATATTTAATAGATTTTGAGGAGATAATTACTGAGAGTTTAGTCTGAATAACAGTACCCGGTGCCAGCATGTTTCACGATGCTGCTGTGACAGGAGTGGATGGGGAGTATGTTGTGTGAGACTTCAGCCAGAGCTGAACATGGGCTACCTTTTATGTTCTGATGTTTACGAAAAAAAACTTGCTCCATGGCCCAAATTGTACTAATGACAACTTGCTCATTGCAAAGCTTTTGGAAGAGGCAGGCAGCAAAAGGTTTTGTTCTACTGTTGTACTGTAAAAGGAGAAGGAAGTTTGAAACTGGGCAATCTGAGGTGATTTATATGAATCAAGATAAAAATTGGGAGGAAGACTCAGTTAAAAATCGTATAATTACAATTGCAATTGTTACTTACAGGGAGGCAGGGAAGAAATTGAGTGTAAACGGGTCTGTGTATGCTATAACTTGTTGAAAGCTAAATATAAATGTTGAACATAATTGAATAAAATGAATGCAGCTCATGCATCATGTAAATACTAATTCCTAGTTGTCAGTGCACTTGCGTAAGTGGCTAGAAAGTGGCAAACATTACAATTTTAAAGATGTAACTACTTTTATAGGAGTTATGCAGCAATTCATGATCAAATGCCTTTCTGTGGCACCTCTAATACAACTGACTTCTGAATCTGCTATTCTAATCAAGTTAAACTCAATCATGACATGAAAAAGGCCACTAAGTTGTGTTCAGTAAAATTTCGTAATTTCATCGCTTAACATACTTTTCTTTGTATTTTGGTGGTTTGTTTTTTTTTTTTTCTGTAGGCTAAATTTGATTCTGAAATGCCTTGTGAAACTGTTAGCAAGATTCATTTGGTAGATCTTGCTGGAAGTGAGAGAGCAGATGCCACCGGTGCCACAGGGGTTAGATTAAAGGAAGGAGGGAATATTAACAAATCTTTGGTTACTTTGGGAAATGTAATTTCTGCCTTAGGTAAGTCTGGGTTTTGTGCTTGTCTGTTCTGGGTTTTTTTTTGGTCATTAAATACCTTTCTGTTTGTTTACTTAGACTTCTGTTCATTTTTACTTACAAAAATAGTGGCCTAATGCATACCATTGTTGAAAATGAATGAAAATACATAATTGCTGGTTTTTTTTTTTCTACTTCCACATCACAGCTGATTTATCTCAGGATGCATCAAATTCACTTTCAAAGAAGAAACAAGTATTTGTGCCTTACAGGGACTCTGTGTTGACTTGGCTGTTAAAAGATAGCCTAGGAGGAAACTCTAAAACTATAATGATTGCCAGTAAGTGTTTGTAAATTACTTTTTTGCATCCTGAAAAGTTCATGCTTAATAGGAGTAGCTGTAAATATTTAGATTCCAGATGCTTGGTTAAGACAGAATGTTTTTACATGTATTAATGAATTCTTTGAGTTTTCTATTAACGCTCTGCAGAACATCTCTTCCAGCAGTAGAACCATGTAGGGTCTCATTGTGTGTATGGGTTCAGGCTAGTTGTCTAGTAACATCATGAGCAACAGCAGGTATGCCTCCCAAATCTGAGACCTTCATTTGCATCTGCAGTTTATCAGTTTGGGTCCATATATCACTGGCTGAGTATTTGGTCACAAGTGTAACAAGGCATCCAGAGTGTGTATGTACAGGCATTAGACATTTGTTTGCACAAGTAAGGATCATCCAAATGTATGTGTCTAATTGCTTACATTTGCTCTGACATCTGCCTCACTGCTGTTTCTTTGACACGTGCACGGTGTAATGATTAGCTAATCTGAACAGTTAAACTTCAGGTAACAGGTCCTGTTTATTTTTGAGATTCGTTTGCATTCCAGGCAGCTCTGTTACTCATGGTAAATGCTCAAACCTGGACCTTGATAAAGTCTTGTACTTCTCTCCCTTTATGCCTTTCCTCCCCAGGTTTCAGACTTTGATCCCCAGTAAGAAAAATAATCCTAGCATTGTGCATCTGCTTAATACTGATGCCTGAGTTGGTTTGCTTTTCCAAAACTGTGTTGGTTTTCTGTTGTGTTAGCAGCAGAAACAATCTGATCTCTTTTGACATTCAGTGAGTAAGACTGTCATTTAACCTACTTTTTGATTGCACACAATGTTTTAACTTCGTGTCTAAATTTAATTATTTATGATCAGTCATCTTGCAAACTTTTCTTACAGTTTCCTTTTTACCCGTAGGAAGCTCTGTAAAGATCACTTGGTTTTAAAACTTACCTATGGAATACATATTACAGGTTTTTCAACAAATTGGAATGGGAATTCCATTCCTAAAAAAAAAAAAAACCAAACAGGTGAAGCTGGGAGGATGTTCAAGGGGAGGGGAGGATTTTGGGTGTCAGAGATGTAAGGTGTGAAGAGAAAAGCAGCTCTGAAAATTCTGTCACAGTTTCTTGCTCAAATGAAATGCAGTCTAACTAATTAAGTCCTCTCTTGGGAATGGTGGGAAAGCAGAATCGAGGGAATAAAATGTGTTGGATCAAATTCTGGTTCTTCAGTTGCTTTGTTACAGTCAAATTCTCTGGGTAGCAGTTCCTTTGTTGCATGATTTTTGGGGATGTTTTTGGAATCCATGCCTCCTTTCTTTCCTCAGGCTGATCATAGTAGTACCAAAAGAGGATCTTGGCCCAGATTCTGTTTTGTTTTTCTGGTTGTTTAAGTAACATTGTGCTGGCATCTTTCTTCTTGATGCTTGCTTTCAGTTACACGGTTGAGTAACTTTGGGGTTTTTTTTGGGTGGTGTTTTTTGTGTGTTTTTTTGGGGGGATTTTTTTTTTTTTTTTTTGGACAGAGGGATTGGGAAGAGACATTTTAGAAACACAGTGAGCTTTCAGTGTCTGTACTAATGATTAGAGTACCCAGCTGCCTTTTCAGCTACTTTCTCATCTATTAACAATGCTTCTGCTAGGCAGAGCCCTGATGGTTGATCTTTTCTCCAACAGTAACTCTACTGGTAATGTGGCTGCATTGCCTAACAGAGCCTGACAAGCTGTCCAGATACATTTGGTCTGCCTTTTTTGTAAAAAAACCACAAAAAAAGCAGGAAGATAATCTTAAACAAAGCTCTTGTAAAAATATATCCAATTCTGATTTTTCATATTTCTATAACCTACTGTAACATCCTTCCAGAGAGAGAATAATTGAGTAGTGGAGAGCAGACAGTAGAACAGTAGATAAAGTAGGGAAGTGATAGTGTGAGCTAGGGGAAGTATAGTCTGTTGCCAAGTGCATCTCCTCTTATTCAGGGTGTCTCTGCCACAAAACTAATATTTATTACTGTTGAGGGAATGAGGAAGGGCAGAATATTTTGGTTACTTGATTATTTTTTCAGGTGTTCTCATTGTCTGATTCTCTGGGTCTCTTGTTCAGTTTGACTATTGAGATTTCTGGTTCCTCATAATTTCAGCATGGTGTTCTTTTCTGTGTTTTTGCTTGTCTATTTGGATGTGGCAATTATCTTTTTAATTGGGAACGTCTTGTATCTAGGAAAATTAAATGAAGGATAGTGTTAGCACTTTCATTTAAACTCCATTGTTTTTCCTGGGTAAGTTGCCTGTAAAAATAGTACTGGTTTCTCTTGATGCATCGGATCGATGACAGTTCTGCAGCTCAGCAGAACAGTTAGGTTTGTAGATTATAGAAATTCTTGTTTTGGTTTTCTTTTTGTTTGGATGCTGTTTAATTTCCCTTCAAAACTTCGACTGAACCTATTGTGTTTTTACCTGAAATGGCTTTTCCATTCAATGATTACATTGATATTTACAAAATACTTGCTACTTTTCACACTATTCCTTTAAAAAAATTTACAAGAAAGCCTGTAAAGTATCCATATAGGATGTTTATGCTTACCAGAGAAATGTAAATGTTAAGTAGATTGACAGCAAGATTTCTTTACAACAGTTGATTGTTGGACCTGATTATTCTAATACACTATTCTACTATAGTGTTTACTTAGGCAAGGTTAAGCAAGCAAGCAAGTTAAGCACGTCACTGAAGCAAGAGGATGTGAAATCAGGGAAGCTAAGTGAAGAATTGGAACAAATTGTAGCCATAGTGGTTAATAATATATTTCTGTCTCTTCGGCTGCATTAAGTTTTCCTGACTTTTAAAATACAAACTAACTTTACAAATGAAACATATGATGCTGGATAAACTGTTTCTGATTTCGTCTCCTTAGCTATTTCACCTGCTGATGTCAATTATGGAGAAACTTTAAGTACACTTCGCTATGCAAATAGAGCCAAAAACATCATCAACAAGCCTACTATTAATGAGGATCCTAACGTCAAACTGATCCGTGAGCTGAGAGCTGAAATAGCCCGATTAAAAGCCCTGCTTGCTCAAGGGAATCAGGTTAGCTTTACTTAGAATTTATGTGTAATTTTCCTTGAGTTATAACATCTATTTCTAGAATGTAATGAGATAATTATCTTTCATTATATTGATTTGAGTAAACAAGCTCTATGAGGCTATGAATGAATATTATTTTCCTGATTGAATCAGTTTCCATATGGCCAGTAGATTACCTCTTTTAACATAAGGGGGGAAAAATTGTCATCCCAAAGCTTTTAGCTTTCTCTTAATATAATCAAAGCTTGATTGCAGTGTGCTGTGGAACAAGTAGTCACCCCAGCATAAGGAGACTGAGCAGTAATGTATTTCCTGGGTCTAGCCTGGTGGACTGAAGAGTACTTTATCTAGGATCTTAAAAGTAGAAGATGATATAAAGTATTTAAGATGTGTAAATATAAAAATGTAGGCGTATGGAGGGGTTTGAACAATAGATTTTAGTTGTGTTTGGCTGCACATTACATTATCAAGCACATAACATGCTAAATCTGTAAAAGTATTTTCAGTGGTGGCATAAGAAAACGTGTGTCCCGCTATACATCCTGTTTGCATCGTTCTCTTTCTCGTTCTTTCAGTATTAGCCGCTCTAAATATTTGCTGCATAAGCTCAGTTAGGCTTTGATTTCTCCTGCGTTTCCAGAATGGTGAAACTAAGCTAACAATAAGGAATATGCAATTGGCTCAGGCCAGTCATCTCTTCTAAATAATGTCACTTGGGATGGCTAGATTTCATACGTGAGCAAATGTGATCTGAAATGATACTTCAGGTTTATTTCTAGAAATATCTAATTTTATTTTAGATGGGCTGTGCGATGTGAAATGTCAGTTCAACGTAGACTTTTTTTAACAGAAGGCTAGTACTTCAGCTAGATTTCATGCTATAAAACATTGCTGAAAAAGGGGATGGAACCACAGTTTGAAGCAGTAATAGATATTCTAGGTGATTGAAGCGGAGAGTTTTGCTTTCTTACAATTAGAAAACTCTTTATGGAGTTGAATTACTCTATTATGCTTGTGTTTCTCCCATATTCTTTAGGAGGGGAAAATTAATTAGTGTTTGAAATGCAGTTTGATTTAGAATTAGCCAAGTAGATGTAACTGGGACCCCTTTGAAGATGTAATACTTTGACCTAGTTCCAAGCTATAAAACAGTGGAAGTCCCAAAATAAATGTAGTTTAGTTGTAGGATGTGATAGATGGCGGTGTGGGAGACAATAGAGAACTTGATTAAGTTAATTGAATTTGTGATGGTTGGTAAAACAGCAGGTGGTGTTATATATGCACAGGAGAATACAAATCTCTCTATAATTTGTTTTGTGGTTTTCCTTTATATTCCCAATGCTTCTGTAGATCACTGAAGATACTCGTTACCAAAACATAGTGCTGGATTCAGTGTAGAAGGTCACATAACAATGAGTATTGCTTGTGTGTGTGTGCGTGTTGTATAGTAGTTTTCCTTTTCTAAGGCCAGTTACCTTAATATATATGTATTAAAGATAAACAATATATATGTATTATAGCAAAAAACTATTGATGCATAGTAAAATTTCCTGTTTAACAGGAATATAAATGTAGATATATCAGAAATTACCCATAATGAACTTGAGTCCAGTTTCAGTGTCTGCCTGTGTGTGACCATGTGTATAGACAGTGAATGAAAATAGTACTCTCAAACTGGTGACTTGTATTTGAAATATCTGCTTTGACAATATTCTGAATACTCTGTTTACAGTAGGTGAAATGATGTATATTGGAGTTTAAAATACTTCTAAACAAGTGGAAAAGCTGAACAATTGCATTTCTTTCACTTGATTCTGCCAGAAATTATTGCTTTTTTCTTCCTTTTTTTTTGACTTGACAATATTTACCTTTTACAATTTTAGATTGCACTCTTGGATTCTCCAACAGCTTTAAGCATGGAAGAAAAGCTTCAGCAGAATGAAGCAAGGGTGAGTTATAATTTCATAAAACAGTTTTTAAGCAAGAAAAAGGAAAGCTGGGGGAGAGTGTCTGGATGCAAATGTTTGCAATTTTTTTTTGTTTGATACACAACTAAATTTTCTCTCTGCAAACAGCATTGTCTTGGTGCTTTTTTTTTTTTTAAACACCCCCCCCCATGCGTGAACTTGTAATTTTGTTATCTTAGTAATGTAAGTTGATGTTATAACCAAGAACAAAGTATATCTTTATTTATATAACAGTTCTATTTAATGAAAAGATTTGTTCCCAGGCCAGCTGGCCTTACTAAAAAAGTGTGTTTGTAAATAGAATAGAGGGGGAAAATCAGAATAATCAGTAAGCAGTAACTGCAGTAACAGAGCATTCAGTGTGTAGAAAATGCAGTAAAAGTTTTGTGGGGAAAATTGTCAACTCTTTTTTTTTTATGCTTTCAAGTATTCAATAATTTGTGTTGTGGAGTAACTTTCAGAAAATTTCAGTCTTTAAATCTTGTTTGTACAAATATGTTCAATGACTAATTAGCTGTCTGTTTTGGAGAGGGTCTAAGATCTAGGCGTACTTCATAGTGTGCCTCACACCAAGTTGTTGTGATAATCCAGCCCAGTGTAGAGGCTGGGAAAAATTCCCTGACAATTTAGATATACTGTTAGGGTCCAAAGGAATATAGATATAATGGTACTCTCACTTCTCTAATTGGCACTCTTCCATTCTTTATTCCTATCATTCTATCTTAATTCTTTTCTATATACTTACCTGTCTTCAAACCTACTGCAAACTGTTTTAAAAGACTGGAAGAGGAGAGAGGAAAGTATTTGGAATCACGCAGCTACGTGGCAGCAAATATTTAGTTCTGAATATTGTCAACAAGATGCCAATCAAATGTAGATGTGATGTCTTTAAAAACTGGGGGCTTCGTAGCTGGTTTAAATGGTAAGGTTTAGACTAGTGCTGCTTAGACCTTTACAATTAGAGAATGAACGCATTACTTTGAGAATCCTGTTTTGACTTAAGTAATTGGTACCGTGTCTGCCTGGACTTTTCAGGATTCCCATTGGTAATACCAATTTTAAAGACATGTTGAAATACTTTTCAGTGAAATGATACTTTAAAAATAAACTTCATGACAAAAATGGACAAAGTATCTGTCTGTATTAGTATGAACCGTAGCTGCGAAGTAGACTCCAGGCTTATCCATAAGCCGAGTTTCTGCTAGGAATGCATTTTGCAGCTCTGTAGTAAATGCAGGAATCCTTGCTCTGTTGTATTCAGTAATTAAAGTAGGATCTGTATAACCGTAGTATGAGCCTTCAGTTGCAAATTATTTTTTGTTCATATTCATACTAGGTTTTAAAAAGGTTTTAGCTGAATCGGAGATGAATGATGATATTGTTAGTACGTGTAGTATGCGTTTATTTTTGTGCACAAATGAAAAGCTTTTATTTAACAGTAGCTGAGTAATATAAACTGCTGACTATATGTTAATTAGTGTGCTATTCATGCTCTGACAGTAATCACTGCTTGTCCTGCTCGTAAGTGTTGGCCCTTCTGTGTGGGGAGAATATTGAGCTTATTTTATGATCTTTTGTCAGGCTTATTAGGAGGTTATGTGATTACTATTCATGATAATTACAATACACATAATTACTGAAAATTCTTAGTAGATATTGCAGTGGTTATAGCTTTTTATTTTTAATAATTTAATGACTTCAATAATTAATTTGTTTATACAGATCTAAAGACTTTATCACCATATTTAAATTATCTGACAAATATGTGGTGGCTTTCTTTGAGTTGATTTGTCCTTATATAAGAACAATTTTTAAATGGTTTCTGAGGAATAAAAATTATTCTGGTACAGTGAACAGTCTTAGATAGACCTTCATGTTTTTCTTTAATCTTTTCAGTTATTTTTTTGTTTTAACATTCTAATTAGCAGAACTAGGAATGATAATGAAGTATTGAAAAATGATTGCTTTTCTTTGTTGAAATCTTAAGATACAGGCAGAGATGAAAGAAGTTTCTGTAGTTCTTATTGATTAGCTTGCAGATGATCTGCAAAGATGACTAGGAAAGTAGGCTGCAGGTGGTAAATGTGGAGATGTTTGGAGGAACTGCATTGAAGACTTTTTTTAATCTCCTTTTTATATGTAAAGTAATAAAAGGACATAGCTGGGTTGTTTTCCCAGCTTTTCTGCAGATGAAGTAAATTCAAATAATAAGTTTGTGTAGGTTTTCATAAGTCTATGTATTTAATTCCTGCACAGAAATCTGGTGATTTAAGAAATGAATGTGTATGTGCGTGTATATATATATTTTTATTTAACTTGATAATGATTTCAAGTCAGCCAGAGCTTTGAGGTGGGTCTGCCTGAAGCACCCTCTATGCATTATTTTCTAAAAAGTCTGAAAGGCTCTGAAATGAAAAGAACCTTTACCAATATGGAAGCTGTGAAAGTTACAACTGGATGACTGGGAAAGTCAGGACAAAACCTAAGCATTCTGTCAGTCTGACCTCTGTACTGGGAAAGATTGTGGAGCAGATCACCTTGAGTGCCATCATGTGGCCCGTACAGCACAACAAGGTGATCAGGCCCAGTCAGCATGGGTTTATGAAAGGCAGGTCCTGATGACTAACCTGATCTCCTTCTATGACAAGGTGAACCACTTAGTGGATGAGGGAAAGGCTGTGTTTACCTGGACTTCAGTAAAGCCTTTGACACTGTTTCCTACAGCATTCTCCTTGAGAAACTGGCTGCTCATGGTTTTGATGGGTGTACACTTCTCTGGGTCAGTGGGTGGCCAGGCCCAAAGAGTTATGGTGAATGAAGTTCAGTCCAGTTGGCAACTGGTCACAAGTGGTGTTCCTCAGGGCTTGCTTTGGGGCCAGTTCTGTTTAACATCTTTATCAATGATTTGGATGAGGGAATTGAGTGCACCCTCAGTAAATTTGCAGATGACACCAAGTTGGGCAGGAGCGTTGATCTGCTTGAGGGCAGGAAGGCTCTGCAGAGGGATCTGGACAGGCTGGATTAATGGGCTCAGGCCGATTTGTATCAAGTTCAACAAGGCCAAGTGCCAGGTCCTGCACTTGGGTCACAACCACCCCACGTAGCACTACAGGCTTGGGGACAAGTGGCTGGAAAGCTACCCATGAAAAAGGACCTGGGGGTGCTGGTCGACAGCCAGCTGAACATGAGCTGGCAGTGTGCCCAGGTGGCCAAGAAGGCCAGCAGTGTCCTGGCCTGCATCAGAAGTGGTATGGCCAGCAGGAGTAGGGAGGTGATTGTGGCCCTGTACTTGGCAGTGGTGAGGCCGCATCTCAAATACTGTGTGCAGTTTTGGGCCCCTCACTGCAAGAAAGACACTGAGGTGCTGGAGCATGTCCAGAGAAGGGCAACGAAGCTGGTGAAGGATCTGGATAACAAGTCCTGTGAGGAGCAGCTGAGTGAACTGGGGTTGTTTAGTCTGAAGAGAGAGGCTGAGGGGAGACCTTATTGCTCTCTTACAGCTACCTGAAAGGAGGTTGTAATGAGGTGGGTGTGGGTTTCTTCTCCCAAGGTACAAGTGATAGGATGAGAGGAAATGGCCTCAAGTTGCACCAGGTGAAGTTTAGATTGGATCCTAAGAAAAATTTCTGGACTGAAGGGTTGTCAAACACTGGAACAGGCTGCCCAGGGAAGTGGTGGAGTCACCATCCCTGAAGGCATTTAAAAGGTGTGTAGATGTGGTGCTTAGGGACATGGTTTAGTGGTGGACTTGGCAGTGCTGGGTTGACAGTTGGACTTGATGATCTTTAAGGTTTTTCCCAACCTAAATGATTCTATGATTCTATACCTAACACTCTCCCTGTCTGAAATGCCTTTGCAAACAGTTTCTCACTCCTGTGCTGATTTTATCAAAGTGTATATTTCTAAGTTGCAGCAAACTTTGCTCTGATTCTCTTCTGAGGGCTGCCTGTCTGCTTCTTCCTCTGCATGCCATCCTATGAAGGGTATTTTAGCCTGCACGTGCCTACCTGTGCCATAGAAAAGGACCTGTTATCTTGTTACAGCGAAGGGATCAATCTGTGGCGATAGACTTTGTAGGACTGATGAAGCACTTTATGGAATTATTCAATTTCATTGAAAATGCCTGTTGCTTTTGAAATGGCTATCCCTGTCCTTTGTTGCATTTTATACTATAAATAAGAATTTTTTCCATTTTGAGAGAGAGATATTGTAGGTATGGCCACTTATTGCAGGAGCAACAGTGCTCTTCTAAATCTGAGTATTAAACTTCACAAAGAATTGCACAAATATTTAGTACTTCTGTGAGAATGCATTATGAAGGACTTTAGAAGAGATGTGATTTTTTTCCAATATTTGTTTTCTTTTATAGGTACAAGAACTGACCAAAGAGTGGACAAACAAGTGGAATGAAACTCAAGATATTCTGAAAGTAAGGCAAATAAATTTTTGTTGAAATTCAGCATTTTTCCCTCAAAAAAAAAAAAATTCCTGTTCTAAGTCATCTTCTTTGCCTTTTTTAAATAACATAGTATTTTCTCTGTCTGCTTTTAGCTTACTCCGAAGAATTAGTTTTTGAGAAATTTTAGGAGTAAGTATTTAGGCACAGTGATTTTTGAATAAGATTTTAAATAATATTAAGAAAAGTTAGCACAACCCTTGCTTTTCTTCATGATAGTGACCTCACAGTATGAAAGAGCTTGTCTCAAACAAATCTTTAAAGTACTGAGTATTTTTATTGAGTTACAAATGAAGAAAGCATGGGGCAGTGGCAAGTGGATCCCTCATCCGCTTAGTATTTGTGATATATCAACAAGACCTGCGAATAATCACATTTTATGTAGCATTGGCTATCTCAGTGAATGTGGTGCGTAGTGGATACAGATTTTTGCGTTGGCCTCCAGATTCATGTTTTGGTCAGAAATTGCTTGTAAACATGAAAAACAACTTTCAGTGGGATTTCTGCAGTTGAATCTCTTCCAGTAGGCCTTCATCAAACCAAACAGATGCATCTGACCTAAGCATGCTCTGGAGTCTCAGGCACAGGGATTTTTGTGACTGAGTCACATAAGCTGACATGCATTGTCCACCTTATATGAGTCCAGACTGCTTCTGGAGCAGTTAAATCCACACAGTGCTCTCTTGCATTCTGTAGATTTAGTACAGAACCAAGAGGGCAACTTGGTGATTTCCATACTGTGTTTTTTGCGTGATGTAGACTGAGAGTTTTGTGTTCTCTGCATGTATCTCTGCTTTCCTGCTGTCTAGTTGTACTGGTAAGATTTAATATTGGTACTTGGCTTGTGAGTAAGGTGATAATCTGAAGTCATATTTTAATGGGCCACTTTATGATTCCATACACACATACAAGCACACATTTGCACACACAGAGGAATAAGTCCCACAATTTCTTTTCCATAAAGTAGACTAACATTTTTTTGCCAAACATTTTAACTATTCTGTTAAAAATTTTGAACACAAAGATTAAGCTTTCATGAGTTGCAGTATATGCTGAACATAAACTTGTTTGGAGTGCAATTCAAGCAAGCATTTAGCAGTAATTTTTTTTTTAATTCTTCTTATCGCTGATCTGAAACTTGATTTTCATAGTTGATTTCTTCTGTGTGTCACTTTGATTGCTTTAATTTTTTTTGTGTCACTTTTTGATTGCTTTAAATTTTAAGTTCACCATCATGTCTTTTGTCTGACTTCCAAGTAAGTTGAATAGCTCTATGCTTAAAAATAAAAATAAAGCACAAATAGCATAGAGAACAGAGCAGGGTTGGTAACTGCCTAGCAGATGGCATGACAGACTGGACTGTTTAATGTCTGGGAATTACCGTTTGCATACTCCTCAGAGATGTTTTGGGTCAAATTTTATGTTATTTCTGTCTTATTTTGTTATTTTGAAGCATCTATATGTACATAGAACTTTATTAATCCTCTCTT